GTAAAACATTCAAAATTAAATTCGATTCTAAAATGAGGCCATTGTCACTCTTGTACTGTAAAACATTCAAAATTAAATTCGGTTCTAAAATGAGGCCATTGTCACTTTGTACTGTAAAACATTCAAAATTAAATTCGATTCTAAAATGAGGCCATTGTCACTCTTGTACTGTAAGACATTCAAAATTAAATTCGGTTCTAAAATGAGGCCATTGTCACTCTTGTGCTGTAAAACATTCAAAATTAAATACGATTCTGAAATGAGGCCATTGTCACTCTTGTACTGTAAAACATTCAAAATTAAATTCGATTCTAAAATGAGGCCATTGTCACTCTTGTACTGTAAAACATTTAAAATTAAATTCGGTTCTAAAATAAGGCCATTGTCACTCTTGTACTGTAAAACATTTAAAATTAAATTCGGTTCTAAAATAAGGCCATTGTCACTCTTGTACTGTAAAACATTTAAGATTAAATTCGATTCTAAAATGAGGCCATTGTCACTCTTTACTGTAAAACATTTAAGATTAAATTCGATTCTAAAATGAGGCCATTGTCACTCTTGTACTGTAAAACATTTAAGATTAAATTCGATTCTAAAATAAGGCCATTGTCATTCTTGTACTGACACAGCTGAATATGTAGGTCATTTTAAGTAGTATATCAGTACCTGTAAAAAACAGTGTCCAGCAGGTAGGTTTTCAACCAATGAAACAGAATAAGCAGGTTTAGAAAACAATGGAGAGTGATCGTTGACATCCCGGATGTCTATGGTAACCGTGGCTAACCCGAATAGTGGACTTGCATGTGCTGTAAAAATAAAGATAAGGTTTCCTGACCAAAAAACTAAATACTTTGGTAAGTTTGTGAACAATTATACATTTGGTAATATTTAAAGTTAGTTTAAAGTTAAACACTTTCAATTTGTTGTGGTCGAAGATCCAATGTAAAAATATTGATAATCACAGACAGAAACAGATATTGGACAAAGGCATGTGTTAATAACTAACGGAAAATAAAGTCAGGTAATGGGAAGTACCGTTAGTAAACACTTACTGCTACACAAATAATTACAGTAATCACTTAGGCATTGTGTAAATACCAACTCTGAATGTTATGATCTGTAACATTGATTAATTAGAAATTTGAATATTATGATCTGTAACACTGATTAATTAGAAATCTGAATATTATGATCTGTAACACTGATTAATTAGAAATCTGAACATTATGATCTGTAACACTGATTAATTAGAAATCTGAATATTATGATCTGTAACACTGATTAATTAGAAATCTGAATATTATGATCTGTAACATTGATTAATTAGAAATTTGAATATTATGATCTGTAACATTGATTAATTAGAAATCTGACTATTATGATCTGTAACACTGATTAATTAGAAATCTGAACATTATGATCTGTAACACTGATTAATTAGAAATCTGAATATTATGATCTGTAACATTGATTAATTAGAAATCTGAACATTATGATCTGTAACACTGATTAATTAGAAATCTGAACATTATGATCTGTAACACTGATTAATTAGAAATCTGAACATTATGATCTGTAACATTGATTAATTAGAAATCTGAATATTATGATCTGTAACACTGATTAATTAGAAATCTGAATATTATGATCTGTAACACTGATTAATTAGAAATCTGAACATTATGATCTGTAACATTGATTAATTAGAAATCTGAATATTATGATCTGTAACATTGATTAATTAGAAATCTGAATATTATGATCTGTAACACTGATTAATTAGAAATCTGAATATTATGATCTCGAACAGTGATTAATCTGAAATCTGAATATTATGATCTCGAACAGTGATTAATCTGAAATCTGAATATTATGATCTCGAACAGTGATTAACTAAGTGGCATGATATGTAAGACTTAGACTTGTTACAAGTCCAGACATGTTTTTGGCCTTTAAAGTATGTTCCTTAAATTAGACGTACAATCTTTAGCTTGGATTAATAAGACGTAGCTCTTCTTTCTGTCGTAGTCCAAGGTGTGGGCTGACGATCTGTTGACGTGAATACTTCCAGATTTTGGATTTATATAAAAGACTTCTTCTTCATTCCCACTTGTTATACTGTAAGTAACAGTGCTATTCTGAAGGTCCCGATCAGTGGCTGCCACCTTTTAAAAGCAATACACAAATACTGTTAAATACATAGACAGATAGGTAGATTATTCGTACTATAATACTATTAAGACGTCATTTCCTCGAAAATTAACGTCAGTGAAAATCTTTTATGTCAATTGTTCGTTTGTACATACATAATTCACAGTTCTTTATATCAACGTTACTATAGCAAATGACACTCGAAAGATCCCCACACATCAACACGTTCCTTCAACGGGAACACAAAAATAGCAAATAACACTCGAAAGATCCCCACACATCAACACGTTCCTTCAACGGGAACACAAAAATAGCAAATAACACTCGAAAGATCCCCACACATCAACACGTTCCTTCAACGGGAACACAAAAATAGCAAATAACACTCGAAAGATCCCCACACATCAACACGTTCCTTCAACGGGAACACAAAAAGATTCTTTTCAAAAATCAGAGAAAAATCTGGTCCTACAGTAAAAGTGTGCAAAACCAAAATAGGGAATTCCCGAGACGAGCAACCTCAAAAATACTAAATATAAATAAGGGGGTCACTTGCAGAACACGTGACTCCATTTATCAACCCCCCCCCAAAAAAAAGGTCCATATCTGACAATCCTAACGCCTTCTAAAAAACACGTCAACGTCTATAAATATTAAATCAAAAGTTCGAAAAGTCTATAAATATTTATAAACCCAAGGTTCTCTTACGTATAGAAATTAGTTTTAGAAGAAAATCAAATAGAAATATATATAGGACTGTTATTTTGAATGTTCATCATCCACTGTTGAATGAACCTCGATTAGGACTGTTATTTTGAATGTTCATCATCCTCTATTGAATGAGCCTCGATTAGGACTGTAATTTTGAATGTTCATCATCCACTGTTGAATGAACCTCGATTAGGACTGTTATTTTGAATGTTCATCATTCTCTGTTGAATGAACCTCGATTAGGACTGTTATTTGGAATGTTCATCATCCACTGTTGAATGAACCTCGATTAGGACTGTTATTTGGAATGTTCCTTCAACAGAGGATGATTGAACCTCGATTAGGACTGTTATTTTGAATGTTCATCATAATCGAGGTTCATTCAACAGAGGAGGACTGTTATTTTGAATGTTCATCATCCTCTGTAGAATGAACCTCGATTAGGACTGTTATTTTGAATGTTCATCATCCTCTGTTCAATGAACCTCGATTTCGAATCATCAACCTTTGATTAATTCTTCGTTAATATAAAAAACAAAGACGGTTTATACTGTGTTAGTTTTAATACAAAGTTATTTCCATTTGATTCCTGATTTTTTTTCTTACTTTAAATTTAAACATCTTATTTGCTGTGCATTTGAAGCCCCCCCCCCCCCCAGTGGCACAGCGGTATGTCTGCAGACTTACAATGCTACAAACCGGGTTTCGATACCCGTGGTGGGCAGAGCACAGATAGCCCATTGTGTAGCTTTGTGCTTAATTACAAACAAACAAACTGTATTTGAAATCTTGAGTGGAATTCTTTAACTCCTATTTTTACTGAGTTTGAAGTAATTTCTGTCGTGAGATTTATTTACAAATTTCCTTTCATCTCATCCACTTATAGATAAAACAACTATCTTAGGGGTTCGGTTTACTCTTAGCTACAGAATGAAAACAAAAAAAAGACATATTTTGACATTTCATTACTTAACTGACAAGGAAAGTTGAAAAGGGAATGCCCTTTCTTTATTGGGGGTTCAAAATTCTAAATTACATTGACAGCGAAAGTTACGTGTTTCCTTAGGTTTTAATAATTTCTATAGTTCTTGTTTATTTTCCAATCCCAGACATCACCAATGTATCTACAACATTATTTTTCAATGACAACCCTAATTACTTTTGTGCTGTTGGGGAACGTAACCATGGTTACCCACGACGTCACTGATTGTCATTTAACGCTTCTTTACTCGTTCCAAACTCATCCCATGGGCCAGATGGTTAGGGGGGCTCGACTCTCAATCCGCGAATTCGAATCCCCGTTCCACCAAACATTCTCGCCCTTTCAGCCGTTGGGGCGTTATGATATGACGGTCAATCCCACTAGTCGTTGGTAAAAGAGTAGCCCGAGAGTTGGCGGTGGGTGGTGATGACTAACTGCCTTCCCTCTAGTCTTACACTGCTAAATTAGGGACGGCTAGCGCAGATAAGTCCTCGTGTAGCTTTGAGTGAAAATAGAAAAACAAACATCCCTGGAGAAATAATGTCTGTTTTCCGAAAAGTGTCGGGTCAAAATATTGATTGTAATATAAATGTAGAGACGATGACTCGACTTCTAATACCTCCACACAGCCTTAAACGGTTACTTGGCACCTTGCATACACTTCAACTGGACTATTTTACCTATATATGGTGTAATTCTCTGCATTTATGCTCATTGAGTTCTCCCTACCAGAGAATACCATGTGGGTCAAGTTCAACCAAAACCCAAAATGTACGACAGCGGAAAGTTTTTGTTTGTTTGTTTTTTTTAATTTCGCGCAAAGCTACACGAGGGCTATCTGCGCTAGCCGTCTCTAATTTAGCAGTGTAAGACTAGAGGGAAGGCAGCTAGCTAGTCATCACCATCCACCGCCAACTTTTGGGCTACTCTTTTACCAACGAATAGTGGGATTGACCGTCACATTATAACGCCCCCACGGCTGAAAGGGGCGAGCGTGTTTGGTGTGACGGGTTTCGAACCCGCGACCCACAGATTACGAGTTGAGCGCCCTAACCACTTGGCCATGCCGGGGCCCTAACCACCTGGCTATGCTGGGCCTTGACAGCGGAAAGACAAGAATTGGCTTAATCAACAAATCTTATACGCGTTTGTTTCTTGAATAAATCAATACATTGTTCTTATTTACTCCGAACGTAATTTACAGATTTTGCGCACCACGTGACTTTTTATTGTAATATAACAAATCGGTATTGCTGGTACAAAAAAAAAGAAAAAAAGAATGCAAATCTAATCATGTATACGGAAAGAATATAACCGTAGAAATATATTCATGAATCGGTTATTCCCAAACCTGTACAATAGCTCTATCTGTTGCTTCTTTTTCTGTAACAAACCCCTTGTAGATTTCCTGTGTGAAAACCGGGGCGTAGTCGTTAGATTCCCGGATGAAGATGTCCACTTTCACCTCGAGACTGTTGGCCTGTGGTAAACCGTCGTCCGTAGCACGAGCTGTAAAACTGTACCGTGTCCGTAAACCTAGGTCTAACTTTACAAAGATTCTCCCTGTGTCATCCTCTATCCTAAAGAAATCTGAAAAATTGATACATTTGATAAAACATCACGTGACAGAATCCTTTCCAATTAATGAGCATTATAATGTTTAGTTAAGCAGTTAATTTTTATTTAAGGATAAGAGTTTATTCTGAATAAAGAAATGTTACTTAAAGATGTTAATTTTTATTTAAGGATAAGATTGTTGGTCTACAGATAGGAGTGTTTATTCTGAATAAAGAAATCTTACTTAAAGATGTTGTTGGTCTAGAGATAGGAGTTTAATTTTTATTTAAGGATAAGATATATATATAATGTATAATATATATGGAAACTTTTAGAAACTTTTATATTTTCAATTATCGGGCTTACTGATAATTAAACTGAACTCGTGCCAGTAATCACCCTATCACTAACAGTTACTGAATAATTGTTAGTCTAATTGGTTTAGTGTTGATCTGCCCTTGTTAATTACGATCCCCTGTCTGCTTGACATATAAACACAATCATCGTTTCAAGATAAATACATGAATACTTAAGTCGATGGGAGGTCCATCCAAAGCTGTTGTACGGAAATCTCCGTCCGAGTTAATTAAGCTCTAAATTTCAGAACCCTCTGTTTACCTGTATCTCCCTCTGTGAGGTTATACAACACTTTATCTCCGTCCTTATCAAAAGCCTTGATTTGACCAATACCCGTTCCCTCTACGGCGTTTTCTTCTGCCCAGAATTTGTAAGGCACTCCGATGAACTCCGGAGAGAATTCGTTGATGTTTTGGACTTGAATAACCACAGTCGCGGAGCTAATAAATAAATAAATAATAAATCCAGCATTATTACTGAACTTCCTACTTAACTTTTAATCAAACACGTATATATATATATATATATCCACATATCTGGATAGCTCATGCTTTGTTCATATTTCTTTAATGATGTCAGAGTTCTAATATATCACGATTTCATACGTTTTTGGGGATTTGTGGTCAGATGTTAGCAATATTTCCTATGTTACATACTTTAAACTACGTTTACTTCAGCCCGGAATAGGTCTATACAGGATTTTGGTACTCAACACCACACGGTTCTGTGCGCCCTCTGTACGCAGTAAAAAGCTATAAAATTCATCATCATCATCATACATGTCTAAAAACAAACCAAAACGTCACAGATAATAGTCATCGAAAAACGTACTGGTTTATGGCAAATGCTTTGTTTGTTTCAGTGACGTGCACAGGGGTGGGCTCAAAACCCTGTCTTTCTGCTCTTATGCCCCAAAAGTGCCCTTTTTCGTAGTCATAAAAATTGTCCATAACTACTAAAAGACACTGCGAGTTATTGGGGAAGGGGGGGATTTTATAAAATAATTGGCACACAGACACTTGTAGGTATTTACGGTAAAATAAAAAAAATAATTGTGATATGTTATTAGGTGTTAATAAGCAAGAATTCAGTGTTTATTTTTAGATTTTAAAAGGGTTTATAAGACCGATGGGATAGGAATAAAAAAAGGGGTCCATTTGCTTCTTATGGCTTTCTATTCTATGTGGACCAGAGGCAACCCACAATCCTCATGAACTCTCTTAGCACGTCTTCCCCCACCAAACAAACAAAAAAAAATGTCTTGCCTTATAATGCTTGAAAAGTATACCATTTTATGTTAACTACCCCCCCCCCACCCTTTCGATGTCCTTTTTTACGTTACTGGTTTCTTTATTTAGAATTTTCGCACAATTTTGTTAGTTAGTTTGTTTGTTTCTTTGTTTGTAGTTAAGCACAAAACTACACAATGTGCTATCCCGATTTCTAGCGTTGTAGGTACACAGATATACCGCTGTGCCACTGGGGGGGGGGCATTTTCGCACATAACTACACAAATATTATCTGCGCTAGTTATCTCTAAATTTTAACTAAAAGTCAAGGGGAAAAGCAGCTAATCAACAGCAGCCACCGCCAACTCTTGGACTACTCTCATCTGATTTGAGTGTGATTTGAGCATTCCTCCCATAACAAACCCACGAACCCAAAGTACGGAGCGCGTTTTTTATAACGCATCCACGAACCCAAAGTGAAGAGCGCATTTTTTATAACGCACCCATGAACACAAAGTAAGGAGCGCGTTTTTTATAACGCATCCACGAACCCAAAGTGAAAAGCACGTTTTTTATGACAAACCCACGAACCCAAAGTGCGGAGCGCGTTTTATTTTGCGGTAACGGAAACTTGTTCTTCACAATTACAAGAGAATTTCACAACACCACGTAAAATCAAGACTACAACACAAATAACTACAAGTACGAGTAAATGAGAGTCAAAACATATAATAATAAAGCAGAAGTATCTAAGCAGATAAATAATTTACACACACAAAAAAAAAACATCTTTATTTAAGATATATATTTTATGTTCCTCAGCAGTAATTGGTCACATTAATAGCAATATGGATGGTATTAGGAACCTTATAAACAAAATGGCATAAACCCCACATGCAAGCTGATGCATAAACAGTTTAGAAAAACTTGCTTTAAAAACCAGTGAGATTCTTATCGGTAATTTTAGGGTTAGATCGCATCTATTTTTAAAAAACGACTTATTCTGTGGGCGTAGGGCATCAACGAAGTATTTCCCTTTGAATACTCAATCTCAGTTTATCTCATCTTCTTCTTTATTTTCTGTAGACGACGACGAAAGATATTACTTAGGAATTATAATGTTTATATGTTTAATTACTAGGTTTTAATAAAGCTAAGTAAGTAATGTGGAAAAAATTTTGTGAGGAGGTAAGAGTATGCACAATTTTCGTAACTACCAAATCACGTTATATTTTACTAGTGCTGCCATCTCTTGGATATAAATAAAACTATAACATTTCAAATTACTCAAATAAATTTTAACAGAATGGTTTACCCTGTACGTTGAGGATTTCCTCCGTCAACTGCAAATATTGTGAACTGATACTGGTCACGCGTCTCATAATCCAGTGACGATATCAACTTTACAGTCCCGGATGTTTGGTTGACCACAAACGTGTCCTAATTAACATGTGTAATTAAAACTAAAATATTACTGATGAAAGAAACCAAAGAGAGAGAGAAAAAAAAAATCTTGGCTAGTTGATAAGATTTAAATCAATACACACAATCGGTTTAAAAAGTAAAAATATTTATAGATATAAATGTGAACTGTTAACACATAACACTCCAACACTTTCACCCATCAATTCCTTTTCTAATGTGTTATTTTAAAATTTCTTCAACTAATTTTACTATGTGAATAAATTGTTTAAACTTTAAGAGTTTTTTTAATATATATATATACATCACATAGACAGAGAAAAATGTGGTAAACTTACTTACATAAGTCGGTTTTAGTTTCGTTCCTAATCACCACGGGAAATGTGGTAAACTTACTTAAACAAGTTGGTTTTAGTTTCGTTCCTAGTCACCACAGGAAATGTGGTAAACTTACTTACACAAGTCGGTTTTAGTTTCGTTCCTAGTCACCACAGAATATGTAGTAAACTTACTTAAACAAGTCGGTTTTAGTTTCGTTCCTAGTCACCACAGAAAATGTGGTAAGCTTACTTAAACAAGTCGGTTTTAGTTTCGTTCCTAGTCATCACAGAAAATGTTGTAAACTTATTTAAACAAGTCGGTTTTTAGTTTC